TAAAAACAAAATAAACAAAAAATATTTAGTAATTTACAAATTATGGCAGCTCTAATCAAAACAATTCAAAAAAACTCTTTACTTATATAAATAATTAATTTTTTTGTTTTTAAAGAATGCCGTTTTGTTTCATTTGTGTATTTTTAATTATTTTTAAAAACATTTTAATTGGGTAGAGTCAGTCTTTAAACGTTATCTAGTAAACAAAAAATAGCTTTAATTATCTCTAAACATCGGGCATTGGGTGAAACGTGAAAACTAATGGGAAGGGTTTTTGAGACAGCTTCCCGAATTATTCCAATTATAATGGTCCAAAAGGTACCAGATAACGTTAGAGACAGACTGTATTATAATAAGTTATTACATTTAATATATTATGTCCTTTAAATAGATAAAACAACCAATTTTTTAAAATAGACCAACTGAAAATATTTCTTTCAAGAATCAAAATATTAATTACAATACTACAATAAACCATTAAACTGTAAATGATATATTTAAAATGGCATATTGTAGTAGTAAGAAAATTGGATTAAAAATGAATAATAAAGAAGATTTTACAAACTCAAAACAACATTAGAATGAAAAAAATGTTGATTCTCATATTTCTATTGTTCCTTAGTTACGTTTTGTCACAAAATAATGTTCCTATGTGTACATCAGTAAATCATGTTGAGACATGGAAATTAAGTTGGACTAACTCATGTACCATTCCTTCTACTTTTGAAATCAGAAAATCGGCACAAATCACAGTGAGTGGTGAAGACATAATTGTCACTGGCGACGTTTTTTCAATATCTGTTTCCTCGTTTGTCTTATTAAAAAGTTCTCAAGTTATTTTAAATGACTTATCTCTGATTGGGAATTCAACCAATTCCAGTACTTTAAAATTGGAAACAAAAACAACACTTTCAACTAATAATTTGAGTCTTGGGAATAACTGGAAAATCGAGCAGAGTGGAAATTCAAAGATCCAAGTCAATTTAAAATTAGAAATCAATGAAAAGGGCAATTTTACACTGTTTAATAATTCACTCTTCACGACAAAATTGCCGATCGGAATTACTTCGACAATTTCAAATTCACCTTTAATACAAATTGGAGGGACAAGTGTGTTTCACACAGATTCAAAAATAACACTGAAAGACAACACTAAAATTGTGTTGAGTGAATATGCAAATATAACTTGTGACGATTTTGAAAGCTCAAATATTAACATTTTTATGAGTGAAAATTCAAAAATTGAGGCTTTTAAAAACTTTATAATGAATGATGGGACTAATGTGAATTTGAAAGATCAAAGTTTAATTATAAGTAGTGCTGTTGATGTAAGTTCTTCATCAAATACTTTGCCTGCCGTTTTGACTTTAAATAGCCTTTTTGGATACCAAATTGTGACGGAGAATTTCCAATGTGGAACAAATTGTAAACTTTTAATGAACAAATTTTCTATAATTAAAGCTACACGTACATGGTTTTTAACGGAATCCTCTGTTGAAGCTAGTGAACGTGAAATCACCGATTTACCTCTTTTTCACACAAACGAAATCGATTTGGAAAATTTGAATTTGATTTTAGTCGAACCAATTAATGTCGCTTTTTCGGAGAATCCATTAATTGTTAAAAATTATAAAGGATCCCCTTATTCTTTATTAATGAATGGAAAATTACTTCGATTTGGAGAATCCAAAGACGTGTTTTGTAATTTGAAAAGTGATATTTTGACTGAAAATAGTTTTTATGAACCATATTGCCCATGTCACGAAGATAAGTGTTACATTTTGTCGCCAAATACTCAAAATTTGAAAGTGCAAAATCTACAGAAAAACACACAAGATTTTCAATTGGAAAATTCCGACGAAAATGTAATGAAAATTAACGGCTTTTTTGTATCATTCCAGAAAGTCGAAAGTTTGCAAATTATTAATATAGACTCAAATGAAATCAACTTTCTTGAGTACATAAAAATGACGAAATCGATATTAATTGTGTCTAAAAGTGGTATCACAATAGATAACAAAATGGTGTATAAAAGTGTATTTATAGACTCAAAAGGGGTTTCCCAACTTATTTCTTTTAAGTTTTGTCTCAGTGGAATTTATGATGAAATTAAAAAAGAATGTATACAATGTTCACCAACCAATTGTGAAAAATGCAATGAAAATGATGCTAACATTTGTTTAAAATGCGAACCAGGTTATACTTTAGTCGATAGAAAATGTGTGAAAATTCTTCATTGTTTATTATCAAATAACATCATGTGTATAAAATGTGAAGATGGGTATGAAAAAGTTAATGGAAAATGCGAAAAAAGTGCAGATAAATGTCAAATAAGAGACTTTTCTGATAATTGCATTTTGTGTTTAACTGATGAAAAGTTAATAAATATAAATGGAAAATGTCAGAACGTTCCCGAATATGTCGAAAGTAAATGTGAATATTCAATAACTTCATGCCAAAATGGATATTATGTTCAAAACAATTTGTGTCAAAAATGTAATTCTAAATTTGAAAATTGCAGATTTTGTTCGAATGAAAAATGTGAATTATGTGATGTAAATTATAAAATTAATAACTTGGGTCATTGCGAGCTCCAAAGTTGTTTAATAAAAAGTAATACAATTAAAGATTTGAATGGAAATTGCCTTGTTCCAATCACAAATTGTTTACTTCACAACAACAAAAAATGTGTTCAATGCAATACCATGAATTATTTACAAAGTGATGGAAGTTGTAAATTGGAAAGTGAAAAAACGTGTAATAAAAATACCGAAATTGGCTGTATCCGATGTGTAGATGGTCTGTTTTTAGACAACAATAATATATGTCAAAATTGTGACACAAATAAATGTGCTACGTGTTCATCACAAAATGACTTTTGTCTGAGTTGTCCAAATGGGTATTATTTGAGTAATTATGTATGTAAATCGAATGAAATATTAAAAGAAAAGTGTGGAAAAATATCAACAATAATTAATGGGTGTTATCAATGTAGAGACAATTATTATCGTGTTGGCACCGACTGTTTGGATTGTGACAAAAAGTGTGAGACCTGTTTTTCTAATGAAACGTGTTACACGTGTAATTCTGACTATTTTCAGACTGAAGAAAACGATTGTTTGCTAAAAAGTTCTTTAGAGGGATGTGCAGTTGAAGTTACTAATTTGGGATGTTCTCTTTGTGCTGATGGGTATTATCAATTTAAAAATAGAATGTGCGAAAGGTGTTCAACAAATTGTGCGAAATGTTCTTCTAAAAATTATTGTACGGGGTGTGATATTAATAAAGTTTTAGTCAATGGATTTTGTAAAGAAATTTCGCAAATACAAAACTGTGTTGAAGTTTATAATTCAAAATGCACTAAATGTAAATTTTGGAACATTCCTGAAATAAACGGAAGTTATTGTGAACAACACGTTGTGTGGTGGGTCATTTTTATAGCAATCGTTTTTGTTATAGCTGTTATAACATTTCTCTTCATTTTAATTTTGTTTGGGCTTTATAAATTGCTTAACAAAATTGAGATGAAAAAGTTAGATGGAGAACTCACCAAATTTGAAATGGTTCATTCAAATATCATCTTCAAAAAATTGAAAGATGGAATTTGCACCAATTTGGAGGAAATAAATTTTAATTTAAATGAAGATGATCTCGAAATAGGCGAGGAAAGTCGGCAACTTATTTGCGTTGGTAATGAAAAGTCAACGACAAAAATACAATTTTCAATGAAAAGTGATATTGAAAAGTTTACTCTTCGAGTCAGCCCTCCAGTTATAACATTAAAGAAAGGAGAGGCGTGTGAATTTGAAGTATTTTTGACTCCAAATTTCACGTGTAAAATAGATAACAAAATGCTTATAATATCAAAAAGTTTAAAAAGTGGTGAAGAGTCATTTAACGAAATAAGAATTAGAGCCTCAACAAAAATTTCGACAAAAATAGACCCGGATGAATTAATTGAAGAAAAAAAACTTGGTGAGGGGTCTTTTGGAGTTGTTTTCAAAGGAAAATATCGGGAAAATGACGTTGCAATTAAACGCATGAAACAAGTTGATGGCAGTCATGAAGATTCACTGAATGAATTTGAGAAAGAAGTTTCCATGTTAGACAAATTTCGCTGTGACTACATTGTCCACTTCTATGGCGCCGTTTTTATTCCAAATAAAGTGTGTATGGTCACTGAATTTGCTAAATTTGGAAGTTTAAATGACTTGATGAAAAGTCACACAACTGAAATCGAACACAAAATGAAATTAAAAATAGCACTTGATGGAGCCAAAGGTATTCAATATTTACACTCGAATGGGATTTTACACAGAGACATTAAACCGGATAATATTTTGATATTTTCACTGGATTTAAATGAAAAGGTGAATGCGAAATTGACTGATTTTGGGTCATCAAGAAATGTCAATATGCTGATGACTAACATGACTTTTACCAAGGGTATTGGAACACCCGTGTATATGGCACCTGAAGTCCTAAACCAAGAACACTACAAAAAACCAGCTGATATTTATTCATTTGCTATTACTATGTATGAATTAATAACTTGGTCAGAAGCATATCCAAAAAGTCAATTTAAATATTCTTGGAAAATTGCCGAATTTGTGAATGATGGAAATCGGCCAAGTTTATTGACAAGTTCAAATGGAGAGGTCTCTGATTTAATCGAAAGGAGTTGGAAACAAAATCCACTCGAAAGATATGCAATAGAAGATATCGTTTTGGTGTTACAAAAGTTGTGCAAATAATGAACAAATGTTTTTATTTTTAAATTATATTTTTATTATAATAAAATTATATTTAAATTATAATATTTTTTAATAAAAATATAATAATAATATAATAATAATATAATAAAAAATTATAATATTTTTTAATATAAATTTATAATAATAATGTATTTTAAGTTAAACTAATTTGATTATTAAATTTAACAATTTTAGTGTTATAACAAAAGTGTTTAAAGTGATTCTAATTTCTTCTTGACCTCCTCTAAACTCGCGTTGAACTGCGCCATGTCTCTTTCAATACCCGAATTCAAACTTTCAATGTCTTCAACTTCTTCGCAGATATTTTGATATTGAATTTTTCTTTTTTCAGTCTATTAGT